CAAATATTTGGGATGTGTATGTGATCATTTGTTTTTGTGTGTGTGTGTGTGTGTGTGTGTGTGTGTGTGTGTGTGTGTGTGTGTGTGCTGACTCGGCACGTGGCTGCCTGTTGTTACAGGCCTGTGAATAGTTGTGGAAACAGCGCATGAATGAGGAATGTTTTGTTAGGTGTCTTCACCCTGGGTGGATCTCTGCTTTCGAGTCTCTGGAGAGAAATCTTTCTAAGCTTTAAACACAGACATGTCAAAATCTGCCCGATCCAAACATCTCCTCGAGATCAACTGATGTTTTCCATGCATCCACGTAGCTGAAATCGTGCTATAAAAGTGCAATAACTGTGCGGATATCTTCTCTCTTCTCTCTTGGAAATGTCAATAAAGTGAATTGTAAAGCAGTTGTACCACTGAAAAAACAACATTATTTTCAAATTGCACATTTGTCTGTAAAATTGATGTTTCAGTATTCTAAATTTAAAAATAATTAATGCACAGCTTTTACATGTTTGTGCTACGGAGGCCCAAAGGGGACATTCATCTATACATTTTATTTACTCCGCATTACCCTGATAAAGAGTACCTCAGGGTTGTTTTCTTCATATTGACTTATTTACAGTTACAAGAAGAAAAGCAAACGTAGAAATAGGCTGATTTAATCTAATTATAGTGTGGACAAAGGCAGCATGGCACATGTCATATTCTGGCCTATCACAGTGACCAGTGTATTTAAAAAAACAGCAGAAAAAGTATCTGATCATAAAGAGAAAATCAGCTTTATTGTCTTGAGATAATGAGATAAATTAATCCAACAAACAAATAAAATAAGTCGAGATCTCCAGTAAACAACTGACTTGTAACTTTTTCACAGCTGGATTGAATAAAATGTATGAATGCATGTTCCCTTTGGGCTTCCGTAGATAGATCTTAACACAATGTTTGTTTGTCCTCCTCAAAATCTGTCTGAACCAAACGCCCGTGAGAGTTTCTGAAAGTGGAGTCAAAAAAACTGGCGCTCAATTACTGAGGCATGCAGAGGTTTAATCTGAGTCGGACTAATCAGATTACTGGAGCAGCAGTCGCCACTCAGCCGGTTATTGGGTCTGGATCAGTTTGTAAACCAAAGTCTGGAGCTGGAAGGCGAACCTGAAGTCAGCTCGCTCTCCTGGTACGATCGGCTCTGATCACACACCCACGGCCATTACTAAACGTATCATGGAGTTTTATACTTTATAAATAAAGACTGGAAATTATACTACTTATACAACATTATAATTTCATAAGAAAGTTGACCAAATGAGCTCGCATGCAACAGATCAGTAAAGTTAGATTTTTTAAGCATTTTTGGGCCTTTTTGAATTTATTGGAAAGTACAGCTGAAGAGAGACAGGAAATGTTGGGAGCAGAGAGAAGGGGATGCAGAGGTCAGAATACTAACCCATGGCCACTGTGACTGTGAGTACTATAGCCTCTGTACATCGGGTGTAGGACGAACCGCTAGGCCATCCAGTGACCCAGAGTTTTATTTTGTTTTTAATCAAAACACAACAACCTAGAGTCTATGAATCAGCTTTTGGTACTCACACACACACACACTGTGCGACTGTGTGTGTGGAGTTTAACGACCACTAATTCAAAAATGCCAGAAAATCATCCGACCAGTCAGGAGCAGCTGACTGGGCCAGTGATTGGCCGTCAGTGTAAACTGCACAACTAATGATGTGGCTGAATTTCAGGCCAGACTACCCAAAAATACCCCAAATTGGGTATTTTTGGGCCTGAAATCATACAGTACCAGGCAGTAATTTTGAAACATGGACAAACTGGACTCACTGGGATCACTGGGATCAATGGACAGAAACAATCAACACAAAGGAAACTAAAACGTAAGAGACGTGGACTTCGTAGAGGAGAGATACAAACGAGCATTATCTACAAAATCAGGAAGTGGCTGCTGCAGTATAAAGACAGGTTAAAGATGTAAACTGTATGTAGAGATATCACCATGGAGATGATTTGAAATAACTGAGTAAACATACATCTATTGTGCTTTATATTTGTTATTGTATAAGAAAGGTCGTCTGCTTGTTCCCATGGCTCAGCTCTGATGTGGAAATCTGTTCAATTCGTCCCCGTGAAGAGAGTGATGCGCACCTTGGATTTACTCTCTCAGTCAAGATTATGTTAATCTGCTCTAATCTCCTAACAGACGCTCGGAGAGGCAGCACGAGACCCGAGCACACAGAGCAGAGAGGGAAGGAAACACAGGCTTCAAATGATGCTCCACTGTCTGTACTGAGAACTTGTTCTATTTTATAAATCTTTATCAGAGGTCATATCTACTGTAGTCCTGCTCTAGTAAAATGTGACTGATTCAACTTTCAGTATTGACTTTGGAATGGAAAGCTTTAATGTCTAGTTTCAGATTGAATGATGTTTAGGGGTTCGTCCAAAATGTAAAAGACCAGCGAGGAGACACATTTTCATATCAAACTTCTTCAATTTAAACACATAGACTGTACTTAAAGTTCCCAAAATAACTTAAAATAAAAATAAAACAGGTCAACAATAATCCAAAATGACCCGTTACAAGACCTAAATGTTTACTTGTTGAGGAAAAAAATGGTCTGGTGTACTTTAAAGCTCCTGTGAGGAACTTTGTGTTTGTTTGTACTTTGGCGCCCCCTGTGGCCACAGCAAACATCTCGTTGCTGATCATGTTCTGTACATGTTTATTTCTTTGAAAACTAAAATATCATCTTGTTGTATGTATCATTTACAGAGAATGTTTGCAACGGAAAATGCCAATAAAGGCCGTTTCATGCCATTAATCTCTTCATCTGACACCTATCCTGCGGCATTAGATTCAGGCGTTAAATATTCCCTTTTAGAAAATCCTCAATCTTGTTGCCGATGGTCTTGTTAGCTTAAGTAGCTCAAAACTGTATAAATTTCAGTCTGTTTCATAACCAGATAAAATCTGCTCACAGGAGCTTTAAATATTAAAGTTCATTTATTACAAAAGCAAATCGGCCTCTGTTATAAACATTGCCATTTCTATTACACTTGGCTTATCCCTAATGATCTGTGAACATGCAAGAAATGTTTATCCAATGAGACCTTTTTCATTGACTCTGAGGAAAACACAGTGCATTAAACCGTCTTTTAAAGTCTTTTGCAACTTAATAAATTTCCCTTTAGTCATTTGTGTGCTCCAGTACTTTCTTTGGAGTCTGCCTTTTTGAAGGACTCCTTTCACTTTTTCCATTTCCTGTTTGATTGGTATAATATGCTGTTGAACCACAAGTGGATTCTTTTTTAGGGTTTCAGTCTTAATCTGCAAAATAAATGTGTGACTTGAGCTTTCGGTGAAGTAAAAGGTAGCCTACATGTTTACCTGGAAGTAGATGCTACTTGAGTACCTCACTGGTTAATAATATCTGGCTGTGAAGTTGATGAGTTAAAGCCTTAATGAGCCGTCTGTTTGTCCCCAGTGTTAGTTTGCTTCATTAGTTAAAATATTTCTCATTACTGCTCACAGCCGGACTCATATTTACAAAGCAGAGACACCAAGCCAGCAGAAAACATTCTGCACATTTGGAGTCGAATTGATTGTAGCGTGACCCATTTCTCCGCTCTCACAGGGAGGTTTGTGTGAATTTGAATAGAGTATGAAAAACATAAACAGTGTTATCATCATCAGTAATTCATCTGAAGCTCCCCAGCATGAGGAGCTGCTACTTCAAAGCCATCACATTCTGCCACAGTAATGATCAATTAAAGCAGAACTGCAACGGCTCAGCAGCCAGCCACACTCAAGACCAAAATGCAGATTGGTGAAATTTGAATGCAGGTCAGAGGGAGATGCATTCAGGAGAGAGAAAGAAGTAGGGCAGCAGAGAGAGGATAAAGGCTGCAGTTTGGTCTCAGGGAGCTGAAGCTCTCAGAATGTTTCTGATGTGGAAAAGGATCTAGGAAAAATAAGATACTAGTTGATATTTTGTCTCTTTTTTTTATTTTAGCCCTGCAGCTATAAACAATGTCTGAACCTCAAAATCTCAAGAATTTGATGGATTGGCATATCACTGTTGTTCAAGGCCATACACTGTATAAAAAAGTGGATGAAGTCCAAGTCAAGAGATGTCAACAATGGGATAATGGATTGTTGTTTTGAAGACAAAAGTTGGCCGTTTCTGTGTCGCTATCTTTTCTTTGTTTTCTGTAGAGGAGCAAGGTGTTAGCAAATGCTAAGTGATCAAAGTTAGACATGATACCATATCTGTGAAAATGTGTGTGAACAAGTGTTTTACACAGACGAGACATTTCGTTATTTAGAACTGTAAAGGTTGTTACGCATAGTAGACAGCTGCAGCATGGACCTGTAACTCAAAGCCGTCATTTCCTTCATTCTGCATAACTTTGAAACGGACTATTACTCAAAAGGTAACGAGTTGAGTGTCACACAGGAGCATGAATGAAGAAATAACGGATAGAGACCAAAATCAGTTCTGTACCAGGTTGAAAACATGTTTAATTCTGATTCAAAAGTGAACCTTCAATAATGGTGGTCAATGGGGCTTGACTCACTTTCGGAGCCAGCCTCAAGTGGCCATTTAAGGAACTGCAGTTTTTAATATTTCTGTGCTTGCTTCATCTTTAAACCTCTTTTCAGGTTGTTGCTTAGGAGAGATAGTCATGTTCCCCTGAGGATGAAGCTTGATAACTTTTCTGATTAACTGACTAGACGTCTAGCGCCACCATCAGGTCAAAGTTTGAACAAGTCTCAGCATTGATTTTATAGCTTCTAAGATAAACTGAAATGGTCAATAATGTAAAAATAAACCTTGTGTGTAGACGACTGTCTGCCTAACACCATTGAGAATGGACTTGGGCCAATATAATCCCCAAAATCTGCTCGAAATAACTTTAATCAAATCCATTGGCTCAGTTTATATTCTACTGGGTATGTTTTATTTAAAGGAATAAAAACGACTCACTCAAACCTGTGAAGTATTGAAATAACTTTATTAAATACAGAATACTAATTATGATAGGATTGAGACTAACTTTCCAAACAAACAGTAGTAAGGTCATTCATTGATTTTCAGAACACCACAGCTGGCTTCACATGTTCTCTGGATTTCTTCTGCGTACACAACTTGAAAAAACCTATAATTATTTTTTTTAACCACTTAGTTGATTTCATGAATAATGATGATGATGATAATAATGATGATGATATACAGCATGAAAATAAATTCAGATGTTATTTCACAGTTCTTCCAATGACAGCTTGAAACCACATTAACAGCTACAGTCGTAAAAAGAGAACATGGATGATTATCTGAATAATGGTATCATTATTAACTGATGAAGCCCAGGTTTCAACACACGTCAGCTGAAGAAGAATTTAAGAGTTTTAGTGAAAAAAATTATGTTTTTATGCTTTCTGAGGCATCAAGGGACCAAGCAAGTTGGAAGAACATAATGGCCATTTTGCACCAAGAATGTCTCCCTTCTTAAATATCCACTCCCCATTGATGAGAGTCCAATCGAGTTAGTGTTCAAGGGTCATAATTTCACCAAGTTCCACAATCTTCCTAAATTTCCCAGAGTGCCTTCTAACGACCACCAAAGCAAGGATGAGACAGACATGGGTTTGCTTTTCATGACAGTAATACCCCCTAAAAAAACATCCAAATCTTTGTGGTTGCAATCATGTCTGCTGAGGCCACACTTGGTAGAAACATTTCTTAATCTTTACTTCCAACAAATTGCCTTCTCTTCATGTGATTGTTCAAATTTGGTTCCAGAAAATAGAAGATTTACCGAAAAAAAAAAAAAAGCTTTTGCCTGTTCTGTTCAGAGTCTGGCCTCAAAACATGAAACAATAACATTCAAATGCATCCGTTGAAGTCGCTGTAAAGTACGAGTCACAGGGTCACTTTTTTCTTGTGAATAAGAAATATACCAACAAATCACAAAGTGTCACTTTACAATCGTGTTCAAATGTTTTTAAGAAGATTTTTTTTTTTTTGTCCCTCCAGGGTGAAGGAGTTTACCCTGAGATGACATGACACATCCAATAATCACAGGAGAAAGGAAGGGGCGGGGTTTAAAAGCAGGAAATAGCACATACATAAATCATCATTTATTGGGTACACTTTGACAGTGCTCACGCTGATTTGAACTCTGCTGGATTTAGTTTGAGTAAAAGGAGAAGAGCAAAGAGGATTACAGGTAGTTCTATTTTTTGCAGGATTTAACGCAGAACAAACCACCAACAAGTGCAGAACTATAGTTAGACACTTGCAGTGTTTGAGCAAGTGAAGAGTGCACTGTGTAGCATGAATAACATGACTCGTCTTAAGGCTGGTACAAAATGTTGGAAGTCAAAGCTGCTACATGTGAGAAGTCGATTTGAGTTTGAAGGAGGGAACGTGGGGAAACCGAGGGTTTTTTTTTGTATACAGTATGATGTGGTGGATGTTTGATGTGTGCAAAAGGAAGGAAGAGAAGTGCTTCACTGTGTACAAAGAGCCTGAAGCAACTCTGAATTTCAGAGGGAGGAAGCATCATAAATACACCACTCCCTACAGCTGCATCCTCCTCAATAACATGAAAAAAAAAGAGACTTGGACAGAGGAGAGAAAATACAAAAACTCCACATGTATTTTGCAAACCTTTTCACAAACTCCATATGGAGTTGAAGTGATAAGATATAGAAACTCTCAGAGATTTTGAAGGTTGCGTAAAGAAATTAAATTTCAAATTGAACATGTAGCAGCTTTAAAAACCCAAGTGCATGTCGGGCGAGTGGAAAGCGTTCATGGTGACTCCTCGTCCCCGTCTTGAAGAGACAGCTACAGGTCTCTCCCCTGATAACTTTACAGAAGGCACTAATTGTGTAGACATCCAATAAAAACAAGAAGTCAGGGGATTTAACTGAAATCTCTTAAATCAGTTACATTATTCGATCCAATGTCCTTAAGAGTTTAGAGACAGGTGTTTGGATCTGACCCTCATGTTGAGTGGAATCAGACTGGGAGGATTAGAAGCATTCACATGAAGGTTAACTGTTCAGTCAAAATGGGAAAAAAAATCCTGAAAAATGAAAGAGAAAAACATTCAACCCGTGTTTTACTTTGATGACACAGTCCGTACTTTTCAGGACTCTTTTTTTTTTAAGCTTCTGGTTCTATTTACAAAACGCACATTATGGATCATCATGGGACAAGCTGTTGGATTTAAAACGGAGTCGTGTTTCTCACTGAGATCGTGTTTTCATTTAAGCTTCGGCTGTCAAAGGAATAGTTCCAATATTTTAGGAAAAGCGCTTATTTCATTGATGTCATGTTGCTTTTTAGAGTGTCTCCTACAGTCTCCAGTACCCTTAACCTATTTTTCATTTCAACATCACATGTATGTTACCTTGTTACTGGAGTGTCAGCTGCATAATGCTTCACGTGTCACCATTAAAAAGTGATTATTTTACTTATAAACATCGGTTATTATGCAGTCAACACTTGCTAATGAGGCTTTTTTTGTATTCCTGTTCCTAAAAATATTGAATTCTTCCCTGTTAGTACATAACAGTACATAATATATATTGTTTTAGTTACTTTAATCGCCATAGCAACAGGTGATAATAGTTAAAGCATTGATATTTATCGTACACTTCTAACTTTGTATCTTGTGATTTCAAACTGTTGCAAACCCCCAGTGTGTGGGGGCGTTTCAAAGCTATCTGTTCCCGTCTTTCTGCAGAAGCCAATAAGTGCATTCCCTTAAAAATGAGCAACCATTCCTTTAAAAGTTACACCCTGTAATGAGGAGTGACTGCTGTAATTATGGGTTTAACCGCAGCGACAAGATGCCGTTCTTATGACTTCAGGAGGTGTTTCTGATACACGGGAGCTGCTGAGACTTTCACTCGTCAGGTAGTGACATCAGGTTGGTTGTTTTTTTTAGACAAACGACGGGGGAGAAAACAGTCACTAAACCTTGTGTCAGTCAGCTGTGGATATTTAAGACGTCTAAACGCTCAGGTATCTGCCACTCCTTAAAGGAGCAGAGAAAACATGTTTACATCAGAGTGTGAAAACGACTGGTCTGGACATTCTTCAACACATCAGGTGTCGTGATGTGCCGTACCTTTAAGAGTAAGATGTACAAACATTCACCAGCAGATGATCGCACCTAAAGCCAATAACATTTTTTGAGTGTCTTTGGTTCGTCTTTTACAAGCACACAAATATACAGTGGACAGGCTACTGGAACCCTCCACTCCTTTTGAAAGTGGTGACGGGTGTTGAGATTTGTTCGAGTGATATGACAGCTGCTCGTGGCTCTGCAGGCTGCGCTACAGGTTCAAGTGAGACCTACATATATGCATTAAGAAGACTGTGCAGACCAGTCTTCTTTCTGTATAGCAGAAATAAGACGCTTTTTTTTCCCTTTTCTGCATGAAAGCCTAAATGAGGGCCTGTGTCCTCCTGCCAGAGCAAAAAAAAAAACACTGCAAGAGGACCGTCCCCTTAAGGCTGCCTTTTTGTTACTATTAAAAAATAGAAGAGCTACCACAACCTTGTCAGTGACCAGTATTGTTTTTTTAAGATGAGTTCAGGTAGTTCAAAAGCTTTTGGAAGGTTTAATTCCAGGCGTTTTTTAAACACTAATAGAAAAACAGCTACTGGTATCAGCCTGGTGTTGCTACAGGGCAATGCTACATGCAGCAGAGCATGTGTGGCTGGATGTATGTTCACTCTAAGAAGTAGAAAGTACCCTGTATTCAGTGGAAAGGTGCTACCATGTTTGTTTGTTTTTTGCAGCTCTGTGTTTGCACAGCTCGCAGCATTTGAAGGCCAGAGAGAGAGACCGAGGGTAAACAAGTTCCACCAAAACTGATTGGTGTGAACAACGTGCCGACCGTCACAATCCAACTACAAGAGAACAAATCATATGATATTAGATGGTAGCAGCCAGTCGCAGTTTCTCAGGCAACTTCTATCTAACACGAGTATATTGAGAATAACATCTTAAAGCTGGTTATGAGGAAAATTGCTAAATAAGTCATTTTATCCTGAGCGTTTTCAATCTGTGTTTTCTATAAGGCTCCTGCTAGTTGGATATGTTGAAGTATAATGGTTTCTAAGTACAACTTGAGCCAAATTTTTAAATGTGTATGTTCGGTCAGTTTTTTTGCACCTGGAAAATGGACGCTAGTGTTACGTGCACTTTATTCCTCCTTTCCAGCGATGTTACCACATTGTCTCAGATAAAATAAATGAGTGTACCATGTTATTATCTATACAAATAATGGACATTAGTACAAGAACAAGAGCCAAGTTGATGTATAATGCATCATCGGCTGGATAGAAACCATCTGTGTCTTCTACCAGTCAGACAACAAGCTCACAATCTGTGGCCTGGCATGCTGGACATGCAGGTTTTTTTGTTTCCAGCATTTTCACATTTTCAGCGTAAACATCTAACCTCACTGAAACGAGTGTAGAAAGTAGAGCAGTCGCTTCTCCTATCCAGCATTTTTTTTACGCTGTGAACGGGTGTAAAGACTTCTCCTCTTTCTCCAACTCCTTGATTTATGTCTATGAACACACACACACACACACACACACACACCGTCTTTATCCAACAGAATGTCCACAAAGTCCTTAGTCTCAAAGTACAGACGTCACATCCACTGTGTTCAATGTTTAAGTCCAAAGTGTTTGGGAGCTGTCGTTGCTGGATGATGACTGTACTTGGTAGAGTTGCAATACGAAAACATCCATAGAGAGTAACTGGAAAGTGAATAGTTTGTTATTTATATTATATAATAAATAATACAACTTTGTTCATAGATTATGTATATAAAAAAAAAAGTCCTGCCAAAAAAGGATGACTGGCTAGCAAAAATGCTTGATAGAGAAGCAGCAGCGTTGTTTAGAAAAAGATATCAAATACATATTGCCTTATTTATTTGAGTAAATGTCTCGGGGTACAATCCATCTCAAGTCCCGAGTTTGAGCGCCATTTCTTAAAGCACGGGGTCTCTCAGGGCTGCAGTCCGGTAGAGCTCCTGGTCATGCTGCAAAAAAAAAAAAAAAACAGATTCTGCAGCACAAGCAGGAGTTTGTTTCACCTGAGGACGAGTTGGATTTAAGCTGGAGCTTTAATTGTATAATCTGTTATGGTACATAAATACCATAATCAGGTAGCGCTAACCAGGCAATTCCTTCTAAAACGAGTTTCCAGAGCGGTCGCTCAACTGTCCCTCCAACTTCACTCAGTCGTTATGCAAGTATGCATCAAAACCCGCCTCGCTCTGCAGAATCACCGAGCCTCAGATGGTCACGTGAAAGGAGTCCCAGCTGTCGTCTTTGCCGATGCTGATGCTGCTGCTGCCGTTCTTGGCCGTCGCCACGGACGACGTCAAGTCTCCGACCTCGCTGTCCGGCTGTTCCCCGGTGGGAGTGGCGCCAGGCTCGCCGTAATACTCGTCGTCCTCGTCGAAGTAGCCGTTCTCCATCATGCTGAGGCTGGAGGCGGCGCTCAGGTCCTGGCAGCTGCCCTTGTACTCCTGGATGGACTCGTGCAGCGACCACAGCTGGCACAGCAGAGACATGTCCTGCTGACGCAAGCCACCTGGAAGAAGACGGTTTAAAAAAAAAAATCAAGATTACTACAGGATACTGGAGACTTTTCTTAATTTATGTCAGAATGTTCAGTGTTTGTTAATTTGGGACTGCTTGAGGGTCCATAAAGAAAAAAGAGGGAACATTGTCCATAAGAAACCTCAAGTCCAAGGTGAGGTCTTAATCTGCCTTGTCCTGTCGGTCCAAAACCCAACAATATTTAGTCAAATATCATAAAGAGAGACAGTGATGAAAACGTCCAGTTTCAGAGGCTGGCATTTCTGCCATTTTTTATAAAGAACATGAAGGGTGTCTCTGGATCAGTGGTAGATTGGGGGGTTTGATCCCCAGCTCCTGTGGCCCCCATGTCAAAGTGTCCTTGGACAACACACTTAACCTGAAAATGCTCCTGCTGCTGCAGCGTTTGAATGTGTAAGAATAGATTAGTTAATACTGATGGACACTTTACAAAGCAGCCTCTGCCATCAGTGTGTGAATGTGTGAATTTGACCTACACAAGCTCAAGCACATTTACCCAAGTCCAAATACTGAACAATACTTTTTCTAATGATCCATGAATCGACCAATCGTTGCAGCCCAACGAAAACATGCAGCAAACTGTTGGACTAGCAATGTTTCTCTAATTCCAAATGAATAAAGGTTGATCCCATATCTAAGGTTTTATCGATTATTGTTTCACAAAGGTGATAAGACTGATGACAAATCACTTCAGCTCTACAGTAAACTACAAAGCACAGAAGATAGATTTCCCTACATCAGGGCTGGTTAGTCAATTCATTGATTATTTTAAAGGAAGACAAATCATCAACTTTTCATGATGCATTTTGATCATTATTCAAACACACTGTACATCATTTGATCATTATTCGTACATTTAAATCAAGAATGAGAAACTTTTTAAACCAGTAGATGTCGCCCTTTAGCACCAGCATGAGACCAAAACAACTGCTGTTTCCTCCGCTCTCCTCCAGCTACACATCGCCAACCCCCCTCCACTCGTTTGCATGAAGGAGTTTAGCACAAGCTGCGGACACAATTGTCCTGGACTCGAGCTGAAATTGCCTGTGGCCTGCATTGTTGTGTTAGCATGCTAATGTTAGCACACTTTGATTAGCTCGTAGGACCACATCGCATTGTATGTGACATCAAAATAAGCAGTGAGCATGTTATTCTTCCTTTCTCTGCTCCTTGACTGAAACAGATTTTAAATGCGAGGAGAGGAGTCGGCTATCCCGTCCATGTAAACACAGCTCCGACAACAACACAGCCAGCGGGACTCAAGCTTCTCATTTACACAGGATCCACTTTCTGCTGTTTTTATGTGAAAAATGTCACACATTCTTCCTTTAACATTTTGGGCATTTTTCCATTTTCAGTCAGACAAAACAATTTTCTACATATTTCAGTGTATAAATCTACCAATCAGCAAAACTGTAATACCTTTACAGAGTAATTAAAAAGGTTATGAAATGAATCCTAAAGTGTAATCCAAACCCCACTTTGTGGTATTACTCATTCCACACCAAAAGAAGTCAAAGGCGGGGTTAAAAGAGCATTTCTACTGCATAGCACTCAGCTGACAGTGCAGTTTGAACTCAGGGTCACTGCATTGTCTCTCAAACAAATTACAGTGGGCAGACATGCAAGTCACAGTCAGTTCAAACAGCTGAGAGCCAGCTCTGCGCTCCACAAACCGGGGAGCGGCTTACACTCTCAAATATAGGACACTGTCAACTTATTGAACATTGTGAACTTCAAACTCGCAGTATTACATTAACTGCAACAAAGCAGTAAGCCGTGGAGTAGCCTGGAATTTGCTGCAGGGAGGGAAAGGCCCATGAAGTAAAAATAGGATTTAGTAAAGCATGTCACAATATCCTTAAGTGGTAAAGTTTCTTCAACAGCTTGACCTTTTCAGCCAAACAACTGGATGAGAGGAGACAGGCCATTGTTAGGCAGACGAGTTTACCTTGATAATGATTGAAAACGACTCTGGCTCTGGTTATGAGAATCCCTGCTGCTGGAGAGGGAGTGCACAGGGTGTAGTGGATTTAGTGTTTCACTCTGTTAACTTCTCAGTGAATGTAACGGGATGTATTAGTCCACCTAACCCTAACCCCCCCCCCCCCCCCCAGCTAAAAGGTATTAAATTCAGCTTAGAATAAAAGTCAGTACAAGCCTAATACCTTAATTTGTGTCATCCAAAGCAAAGCTGCTCCTGATCCTGCTTTCTCTTGAGTAAAGGTATTCCAAAGCCAATGCCAGACTCCATTTTCACAAAAATCGGGTTTTATCTTCAAATGATTCAAAGAGACTTAGTGCAACAGGCAGCTTTATAAGCGATTACAAGTCAGGAATTTAAAGTCTTCCCAATCCTCAGGACATGAATATCTTTAGTTAACTTAACAGAACTGATAAAAATGGGAACATAGTATTATTTCTAGGGAAGAGGATTAGGACAACGCATGAGAAATAAATAACGAGATAAGGAAGAATTTCAAGTCATTATGCACTTGGAGAAAAAGTCGAAATGTGTGAATAAATTAAATACCATTTTAAAAATTAAGTCGAAAATTGCACAAAATAGAATTTTAACTTAAATCTCAAGATTTCGACTTTATTCTCAACTTTTTTTATCTACATTATATTTCAACTTTATTCTCATGTTTTGACTTTATCGATAGTTTGCCTTTTTTCCAACATTTATACATTATTCTCTAAAATTGTATAGACATTTTTATCTCGACTTATCTACTTTTTTCTACATTTCAGCTTTTTTTCCAAAAGTCCATGATGGAAAAAAAAAAAATCCTCCTTTCATTATTTATTTCTCATGTCTGGCCCTAATCCTCTTCCGTACGAAATAGCGTCCTGAAGGACTAAAAGTTGATATTTTATCTATAAGATGTCTTAGAAAGTTAATTGTTTGTATGCCGAATCCATCAAAATGGTCTAAAATTGTTGAAAAACTTGAATTTGAGGGCTTAGCGATGTGTTAGTTTGCTTAAAAGCCAAGAAACATCAAACTCCCACATTTTCACGGGGGGATCCGGTTGGATACGAGCGCACAGCGGGTCCGGATTAAACCAGCGGCGGAAATCGAAGCACTTTCTTCCCGTCAAATTAAACCAACACTCCCTGAAATACTTGCCATCTCCTTCCGCAGCAGAGCCAGGGCAGCGTCGAGGTTGGCCGGCTTGTTGGCCAGGAGGTTGTCGGTGTTATTCCTGCCTCGGCTCAGGTCGTCCTGGATCATGGTTTTCTTCACGTACATCCGCTCCATGTCTCTCCAGGAGCCGCCGCTTGAGTTCAGCAAGCCGCTCAGGCTCTTCGGCAGCGGGGGCAGCCCCTCGATGCAGGCCATTCCTCCCAGGGAACCGTTCGCTGACTTACCGTTCATCGTCCCGTGAGTTACAAATCAAACCGCTTCTGGTGTTCAGACTAAATGTGAGAGTTTTAGTCTCTTAATTCTTCCGACGCTCGGAATAAACAGTTGTCTCCCGGACTGAACGACCAGAGCAACAGCCAGCCGAGGTTTTCTCTGCCCAGGGCGGCCAGCAGCGACGCCACGTCAAGTCACCCGGATGTCAGTTGTTACATTTCCGGTGATATTATCAAAATAAAACATAATAGGCAACATAGTACGTTTGCCCCATTTCAAAATATAAACCTAAATTAGTCTAATTTAAATTATAATTAAATAAATTATCCCACTCTTTGACCTCAACAAATCTGCATTATCCAACATATGGCATTCAAAATTATATGGTTATAAAAATAAAAAATAAAAATAAAAATATATATATACACTTTTTATTTTTATTTTTTATATTCAGGTCTAATTACAGTTTTTTCCTCAACTGTTTATAGGTTCTTGCTTTAGATAGGTTCTTGGTTTAAATTTCACATATATTTTTATCCCTGCACGGGTTATGTACATTTCTTGTATAAATCTATTTTTAATTGCACAGTTTAAGTTTGTTTCATCTAGGGGTATTCTTTAAATCTTTTTTTCAGGTTAATATATATGTATGGGAGGGGGGCGTCGGTTTTGTGGTTTAATTTGTAACAAAAGTTTCATGTCATGCACGTCTTTGTAACCTGCTACTGGATGCTTTGAATTTCCCTCTGGATCAATAAAGTATCTATCTATCTATCTATCTATCTACTTCCAAAAATAGGACAATATTAAGGCTTATTTTAGAGATACACATTATAATCTGTCCAATTCTAAGATTTAATTGTCTATTTATTTTTTTAATTAGATTACTAAATTCATTATATAGTCTATTTCCCAGATAGTTGGCCACATTGCCTACTTGACGATTTAGTCAAAAATTATAGCGTAGCAAAATGAAAATGTATAGCTAAAAGAGATATGTAGAATGAAATGTTGACATAATGTTGGAGTTAAACAAATCAAAATAGGCTACAATTCATTCACAACTACGCAGATATACCTTTTTTTGTCATGGTGAAAAAATGTCAAGGCAGACAACCACTGGGCCTTAATCTGGTCCTGCTTAGGTGTATTTATATTAAATAGGCCTGTGTATGAACTTTATAGGGATGTGATATGAGCCCCTTGTCATATCCTTTAAAAACCAATAGATCAAGCTTAAGAAATATTCTCTTTACAGTCCACAGTTCAGTCTGCCATGCCAAAAAATCCCACAGCTTTAATTTGAAATACCAGCTTCAGGTCTTATCATGACTAGTTTTTGTGAGCTTGATTATATTTGATCGTGGCTCAGTAGTTAAATCCGCTTCCTGTCCTTTTAACACAGTGGCTGCTATGGCTGGGCGTCTCCTTGCCAAGTAAAGAGATAGCCAATGTATTCCCCCCACCATTTTCAAATGTTTTAATTTCATCAGTATAAAAAGTTAGATGAACACAAACTAGACGTATAAGAAATACATCTAACTCATTTTATCTAGAAAGACAATAAGATTGAGTTCAATTAATAGGAAACTTGACACATATAAGTCCTAAAATGTCCAAAGACTTCCACTGAAAAATATATTTTTATAAATATTCATAAACACAAAAGGTTCAAATGTACAGAGGGACTAGTTTCTGTTTACTGAAGTAAATTAGAAAGCAATAAAATGTCTATTCATGTCGGGTTAGATTATCTGTTATAGAAACATTGATTATTGAACGTTTATGTTATCTGTCAATAGTTTTTGGCATGAAGCTTATATTTTTTAATAGAAGATTGTGTTCATTTCAGTACTTAGATACAATAATAGGCTACACATTGATGGATTTCCCCAATCACAGTGAACACAGAGAGGGGATGAGGACACAATGAGGAGTGTGTGTGTTTGCAAGACAATAGTTTGAGCATAAAGGACAGATGGTGGGCTTCACTTCCAGCCCCCCCAGCCTGAAGTCCCGTCACAACAATAACACAACAATAACCTTGAAACCAAGACACAAAAGCAGCACACACTCCTCGGCAAAAGAGCAGCATGTGCTATACCACACACACACACAGACACACACACACACACACACACACACACACACACACACACCGGAGTAGCCTGATACTCTGATACTCAGATGTAAAAAGGCCTACGGGGTCTCAATCTTCATAATAAACATAAAAAAACTTTATTTTAGCATCCTGCTTTTAACAACCATTTCTAATGACTGAATGAGGTTTTGATTATATTTGTTTTCAAAATCAAAATAAATCAAAATGTTTCTGTATAGGCTAGCTGCCATATTAGCCTAACCTATGGGTTCTTTAGCATTTTGTGTAATATAGACTAGCCTGTGTATTTTATCTTTCCCTCTCTCTCTTCTTTAGAGTGAGAGTAGTTTGTACTCATTTCTTTTCTTGACACAACTTGACACTAAAAATGGGAAAATATTATGCTAGTAAGCTAATGCTACTAAGAAGCTTTTGTAGTAAGCAAGATAACTCTCTTTAAAGAATATAACACTCTTAAATTAATGTCAAATATCAAGGATTACATAAACAAAAGTCATACTACAACAAAGGGAAGGGAATGCACTTTACAAATATATTGTTTGTAATTGTAAGAAAGAGGAATTAGCCGTAGCTAGTATAGCTAACTCTCTTACCGATTGTAAGAGAAGAATTAGCGTAAATGTCTCCTGCGTAAGCTTGCTAGCTCAAATGTGTTTTTCCTTTTATTAACTCACCCCACAGGATACTGCATAACAGTAAAGGCCAACTTTGATTGGAATCAGTTTAGAATTGATGACTCAAATACCTTAACCTAGGCTAGTGCTAGCAAAACGGCCAAAACGGCAAATCTGTGTGTTAGCTACCAGTATTTTAAGTTCGCGACACTAAAGCTAAACACTTTTACTTCTTTTTCTATGCCATTTTGAGTCCCAATTTTGTTTGTTTTTCTACTTAAAAGTTAGGCATATATGCTGTAAAATTGGTATTTGACTGTTTTAGTATCGTGTTATCACCTAACACGGTATATTTGCCCTTGAAAGCACCACATCCCCTCTCTTCAAAGTAATCCAGCTCTTAAAAGAATTAGCCAGCAGCTGAGCGTCCACAGCTGCACGATTTAGAGGCACTGATGAAGGAAAATCTCGTATGTTCAGGATATTTATGAGCAGAAGGTCCCCTCTATAAGCTTTCATCATCACGCCATGGTCATCACAATCATCGCCATCATCAGCACTGCCTCCTGAGATCAAAGGATTAGGCGTATGATGGCACCCCCTGGGGATACATGTAACCCCAGCATGCTGGTGTTAATCTGCCTTACTAAAAAGCACAATGACTTTGCGCCACTTAGCGTAGGCCGGCTAATAATGATGTAAAGATATCCGCTTATGTCTCAGCTGGAAAGCGATATCTTTCTGAAGGCAAAGATGAAATCACAGTAATTACACGAGTAGATTCACAAAGATGTCTCGCATCATACCTTCTCTGATGCTTATGTTGTATTTTGTCTGCATTCGTTTGAGCACAATTCTTATTTCACTGTAATTCTTCTGAATTGTCTATTTACATTTGTTATTAAGCCTTGTTTTAGGTACATTGAACACACGTTTGTGTTCATCCAGTATAGATGATCGTCAATTGATTATCTGTCAATGGAAAATGAGTTTTTAAGTCATTTATTAGGAAAACTGCTCATGAGTTGCAGGGACTCCAGCTTCTCCAATGTGAGCATCTGCTGATTTTCTGTTTTACGGTATGTTACTGTAAATGGAACATCTTTGGGTTTTAACACCAAACAAATAATTTGAAGACGTCATCTTGTAAAATGCTCTTTAAATTAAACTACTTGGCATTGCTTTAAAACCTCAAAATGAATACACTGACAACATTGGCATTGGGGATGTATTTAAAAATATTAAAGATTCAGAACCCCCTCCATTAATCACGTCACTCCTGTCCTTCAGCAGCTTCATTGGCTCCCACTTAAACACCGCTTTGACTTCAAGATTCTGCTCCTCACCTTTAAGGCCGTCCATAACCTCACTTCTCTGTTTCTCTCTGAACTCCTGCACGCGCACTCTCAGGTCTTCTTCCATTCAACTCACTCCACCGCCCTCACGCCTGTCCACCATGGTGTCCAGAGCCTTCACCCTGGAACTCCCTCCCACCAAACATCAGTAACATTTACTCTCTCTCCATTTTCAAATCTCATCTCAAAACACATCTTTTTAAACTGGCATATTCTGCTTGATCATTATCCATCTTGTCTCATAAATCCTCTACACACAATGATTTCATACATTGGAAATTTAATTGTTTAATTGTTCCTTTGTTGTTTGTATCTCTGCTTTGTAACGTGACCTTGAGTGTTTTGAAAGGCGCCTTTAAATAAAATGTATTATTATTATTAGTGAAGGATTTACATGTCTACAAAAGTTGCAGCTTCAAAGGTAAAATATGTGTTTGTGCTTCACCGTTCAAGATATTTACCACCATGCATGAACTATCAGTCTCAGTATTTACCATAATAAATAAGTCATTTTTGTTTTTTCCAGCCAACTCTAAATCATGGATGAGACCAAAGAAGTCTTATGAACATGTCTAGGAAGAAACAACAACTACAGTTTGAGACGACTATGATTGTGAGAAAGAGGAAAAGCAAGCATTTATTTTGTCTTAAAAGATTAAAATTGAGGCACATGTACAGTTTAACAAAATGAATAAGGTACTGATTAGACTGTAGTCTGCTGACCCTGTTGTGTGTGGTACGTTAATCACACCATGTATGGCCAATTTCTTTTTTGTTATTTTACAATTTCAGAAGAACAGAAATGAAATACACAGAAACGTAGTATATTGACCTTTTGTTTTTAAATGTGTTCTTACAGAGATTTGGTCTATAGGAAAGAACCGCCCCAAAAAAATGTCAGCCCTATTGCAGCTCATCCAGCTAAACATAACATTGAACTTGAAGCTCGTCTGGGATGCATCACTGTCAGAGAGAGACAAAAGGAGTGAAAAGAAGGCGGGAGGGAGTGTATGTGTGTGTGTGTGTGTGTTTGGAGGAGGTCAGCTCCCTTTAGTGTTATTCTATAGTGTTAGTGTGCAGCAGGTCAGGGAAGAGGCGTGGCCGCTTAGAACAGCTGCTGTCAGTGACACGAGTATTTCCTCCTCTGAGGGGTCGAGCATGACGTTATGGTCATTGTGGTGACAACAGCTGTATGCTTCATAGTGTCAAATCATCAAAAAAAATAAAAATAAGTGGAAGCTATGTAGTTAAGTTATGGAAGTGGTGCACAAGGGTTCAACAGCGACAGATATGTTTCGAGCATTTGTTTGCTCAGTCGCCAAAGGACGGGAAAATAGCATCTTCCTCCAGCCTTCCTTCCTTATTTCTGCAGGAAACAGAGTTATTTCCGTGGGAATCGTTGTGACTATTTGGTCACATTTTCTTGCCCTATACATTTTTCACTCCTGAGTGCAATAACAAGTGGTGGAAAGTAACAGAATGAGTACATTACCTCAAATATATTTTTTTTACCTTAGTTAAACTCTGAGGTACTTTTATTTCACTTCTAATCTGCAACATTTCAGAGTGAAATATTCTACTCTCACCACCACAACACATTTTATTTGACGGCTTCATGTATATTTCAGTTGAAGATTTAAGCCAGTGGGCAACATTTTTTCCTTCCTGTGACCCCTGTACATTTCAGGATTGTAGGAGTTTTTAGCAGAGTCACAAGAGAATGATTTTGTCACAGTTTGAAAGTATTGAACCCATTTGCAAATAATATATTTTTTTATTTGGACAAAAAGGCTTCCAAAAGTCCAAGGTACAACGAAGTCCAACTTAATGTTTTACTTAAAATGTCTTTCTTCCTGCATCTCCCTCTATCCCATCTTTCAAGCCCAACTCAGTTTCGGCAGACGGCTGTTCATCATGAGTCTGGTTCTGCTCTCACAATAAAGTTACACTAAAGTCATTTTCAGTTAGCCACGGATTATAGATTTAATTTTCATCTAAAATACATGTTGTCGGTACAAAACATGTGACAGAAGCAAGAAACTGAACAAAATGTTTTGCTCTCTGGCCCTTTATGATGCAATCTTACCAGATTTTTTATGAAGTTTTGTGAAACATTGTGTCCCTTAAAGAATAATATTTGATATTTTTGATGTTGTAAACTGTTAAATCCCAGCCCAGACGTCTTACATACGACTTTGTTATTTATTGAAACACTCCAGATTGTGAAAAAGTATTTCATCTTTTCATTTTGGTGCCTCAAACATCAGGTAAAACCTGAGCTTTTCTCCCCAGATGTACTATTCACTTCAAAGGCAGATGCACGAGCAGCCAGATGGTATGGAACATGTGCAGCAGCAGCAGCAGCAGCAGACTGTGGTGAATTGAAGTGGGATGGGTGTTTTGTTGTTCCCTCTGGTCTGCGCTGCAGAGTCAGGAGGGGTGTGGTCCTGACCAGCAGCTGGCCTCACCCTGCCTGACCTCTGCCCTCCCCCTCTTTAAGCTCAACCACCAGCTCTGAAACACCCACTTTGTGTCTGCCTTTTCCGCTCCCATATCACCATTACAGCTCTATTCATGACGGGTGAAGAACTTTCATGACTCTACTTGATGAGACCAGATGGATAAAGCTGCTTGAGGCAACATTGATCTCATATTTTAACAAACGTCCTCATATCCAAATCACAAACACAAACTGAATCTGCAAAACCAACAGCTCCTGCTGATGGTGATCTACTTTGTGGAGCAATATAGCTAAAAATGTGTCTGAAGAAGGCCACTAAGAGACAAAGTGGGCTCCTTACTGTGACATGTCAAAAACTTGCTGAAGTCCAGACGTGTTTAAACTGTTAATTAAAAAAGATAGATAAAATAATACTGATTAAAAAGAGAAACATGACGGTGACTATAGAGTAAAACAGAAAATATACAAGCCCTATCATCTGTGTCCGAGTCACACCACACAGCTTAACACTCCCTTTCCTCTTTCTTTTGTCATGGGGCCCCATTAGGGAGCTTCCCTACTGTCATTGCAAACTTTTCACATTTTAAGCCACTGATGTGTTTGTGTCATCCTTTGCAGAGGCGCTGCTTGTCTTCAGGCAAGGCAGGCGACTGCTTGGGGCCCCGGACCAGTAGGGGACCCATGAGGGCTCAAAAATGTAACCCAAAATGTGCAAATTTTTGCAATGACAGTAGAGAACCTCCCTAAGTGGGCACAATCTGCCAGCACTCACTCTCAATGCCCTGCTAAGTGTTGCAGCATGATCGCTGTGAAAACCAAAGTTTGTCGATGAAGGGCAACAAAGAAAAGAAGAATTATACGTCTACAGGAGAGGAAAAAAAGACACAGGAAAAAATGAGGAAGAGGAGGAAGTAAAAGCTGGCAGACATAATGGTGATGAACGCTGGTTGTTAGGGGCGCCCGATTGATTTTTGCCTAGGGCCCCAACAGACTGTAGAATCACCAATGATCCCTTGGGGCCCCCCGAGCATTTGCCTGCTGTGACTGTTGCCAAGCAGGGCCTCTGCGAATTTTAATAAAACTGAATAATAATAAACAGGTGAATAATAAAGGTTATGGCTCCTACATTCATTCTGATATGATATTTATTCGATTGGAAAGATTGTTATAAAATTTGGTTTTAGAGATCTAAGGTCCATCGAGAACATATTTGGAGATATTTTGACAATCCTTTAGCAGCACTGTCATATTTCATGTACTTGCTTTCACGTTTGTAAGTGCTGGACCATCTCAACAACTGGATGAAAATAATAAAAATGTATATGACAACATCCGCAAAGAGATGAATCGTCTCACTTTGTCCACAGGGGGCGCCAAAATCAACATGACACCATAGTTCCCCAGAGGAGCTTTAACTGTTGTGGTAATTATTTAAAGACTTCTTCAATTTTTCTCGATAGATACTAGCAAGAAAGATGCTCCGTCAAAATAAAATCGGTCAAAACTTTTATTCAACAATAAAAAGTTAAACATATTTAGAAATGTCCTTTAAAACAAACTCGACATATAAAAGTTGAACATACAGAAATAAAACTGTCATGTTGTAGCAGCACATATGACATTTTGTAATCACAGTCCCTTCAAAGTAAAAAAGCTTCCTTAATTGTTCTTGACCATATCTGATAGAAGAAGCTCAACATCAGAACATGATTGCTTCAGAAAAGGCAAAATCAGATACTTCAGTCCTGCCTCACACTGCAGACGGGTGCAGTATAAACGGGAAGACGTGCAGAAAATAAACAGCCTGCTAAAGTGTAACCCGACTCCTGCAGATCAGCAGAGGTCAGTCAGCGTCTCCTGCTGTCTGAAGGGCAGCGGATGCAGATTAGAGGTGGAGGAGGCATCACACACTGCAGGAACCAAAAATAAGCTGACTGCTAACACAGCAGCTTCTGGGTTCAAGAATCATTATTTAGTCTGCTTTGACATCACACCATTCAACTCTCATTAACTGCTAACCTGAAACACTGCCAGTAAGACTTTCAGCGAGTGTGAAAGTAAACTTCAGATGATTCAATTTCTGACAGAATAAAATGGAACTGTGTTTGTTTTAGCTGATGAAATGAATCTGTATGAAAGTAAAAGTCTATGAATATACATCGTCTGTTAAACTCTGCTGTCGTCTGAGAATAATGTGTCAGGCACTCGTGGGGAAAATAATTCTCACTCTTGCAGCAAAACAATAACTCAAACCTGTAGTCCAACTCTCTAATGCTGTATTCACACATACACAAACATTCCTGAAAATTAAATTTTTTTAAGACTGAGCTGCAGGTGTGCACACAATTGGACTAATTTTTCACCCTGATTTTACCTGGACTTTTCCCTGCCGGCTCCCCGGGACATTTTCCACATGAAGTCAGAGTGAGCTGATGTGTGAACACAGCAGATAATATTTAGGAAAATTCACAGCTAGCAAGCGGGTGAGGTGTTAATAATTTATATAACGCAACCAGTGAGTGACTGGTGTGATCGTCGTACCAGAATAAAGCAGCTTCGTACTCTTTTCTGCTCCCCAGTTTGTTATTTTCCTCTCAACCCGTTCACACCATGAATCCATCTAATAACATGCAGCATTGATAACAAGTCAATAAATGTCATTATGACTGGATATCAAGTCAACATTGGGACTTCAGTATCAGTTTTGCGTCATTTCCTGCCTCCTGAGAAGCCTTCCTCCCGTCTGAGGGGGACATGTGGCTAAAAAGTTTGGAAAATTTCAGGGGTGGGCTGTCTTAAAATTTGCAATTTCTTTTAAGAAGTGCATGTGTGAAAGCAGCTTAAAAGATCAGCTTCTTCACTCAATTTTCAAGATGTCAAACCGTAAAGGGAGTATTAGATCATCTTCAGATAAAAATCAGAAAAACCCAACACAGCAAGATTTCTTAAGTCTCTTTTTAGGCATTTTGGAAGTCGGTCTTATTGGAATGTCCTCTTTCCTGCACTAACCCGTCTCCTTGTTTAGGAGAGGCAGGAATCAAGATGTGCGTTGATCTTTGACTCCTGCACCTTTGCTTGGCACACAGGACAGCTGACCATCAATGCAGGGGAGGAGGAGGATGATGAAGAAGAAGCAGAAGAGGAGGAGGAGGAGGAGGAGGAGGTGGTAGCAGTGGCAGTTCTTTGCTGCATTGCGGGGGAATTTGTCTTCACCGACTCCCTCGACGCCGCTGAGTCGCTGCCTAACGTCTTCTGGAAGAAGTCGAAGATGCTGGCTGAGCTGCTGCGCTCGTCCCACGGCCTCTTCCTCGAGACGGACCCTGATGCGCTCTCACTGTTAGAATGATTGAAGTACTTGGACTGTGTCGGTTTCACAGGGCTGCCTTTAGTTCCTGATGAGGAAAACGTAGAACTGCCGGGTTTACTGGGACTAGGTTTGGATGTTTTTGGAGAGGAAGCTGAGTTGTTACTTTGTTGTTTAGAAAAGAAGGAAGAAGCAGAGGTAGCACCCGTTGAATTGTTCGGTGAATCTTTTTGAGTTTCTGTGTTTGAGTTAGAGGTTTGACTTAGTGACTTCCTGAAGTTTGTGCGGTTAAAGAGGTCTTCAATTGATTTTTGTTTGATTTGATTTGCTTCTTGGCTGCTGCTGCCGCCGCCGCCTTGAGCTCTGGAGATTCTCACTGGAGAGCCATTAATGTTGACAAAAGCCCGCGTGTTACTGACAGACCTCTTCACAGGGGGCTTCTGCCATGTGGAGGCACCCGGTCTGACGGAGGTAAAGGTGTTGGAGAGTCCTGGGGAGATTTTAGCTGGAGGTGAAGGCGTGAGGAGTTTCTTTGGAGAGAAGACGGGCACTGGTGGTTTTGAAGACGTGGAGGTCTGTGACTGCCCTCCCAGTAGGAAACCTTTCCCGCTGAATGGGATAATGTTTCTGATGTCCTGTAATCCAGAACCTGAGAGGGAGAAAGGAACACATTCAGAGGCAGGAAGGCAGGCGGGCATACTTCATACTTTAAGATGTTCGACTGAGATAATTACTGTACTCAATACGTGGTGAAAGGATTCTCAAAAAATGAAACACAATATCCTCTTAGTTGTTTCACATTTCAGAAATCTGAAACTATTCACTTATTTTCTGATAGCCTGATAAACTGATTTATACCCAAGTGTAGAACTGACCTGTGGTGGTTTAGAGGAATCTACCATGCCTTGCCAAAATTCATCACAGGATAAAACCACAATGTTCTGTTTACACTTTTCAGCTTAGCCGTTTTCACATATACACTCCTGAAAATATCTAGATCATTTCAAAACGACTGCTCCGGATATTCTCCTGACCTGGCTGTTCATATGAACCTCACAGTGGGAGACTATACCTGTCAGGTGGGGGGGGGGTGCGGGGGGGTCTCTTGAGGTAAGACGTGATGTAAAAAAAAAAACAACAATGCGGAAGTAAGGGACGAAGCAACAGAGTCCGCTATATGACTCCGCTATATGGCTAATGAGAAAATTTGCCTTTGAATAAATGCTACGTGCAGTTCGACGCTGCTCGTGGAAATATCCTTTTTCAGGAGTTTTCTGCAAGTGTCATAAGTTAGCTATGTACGGGTAGAAGGAGAAAGGTGTTACATTTTTATATAGTAAAGCAAGGCGTGCAGTTTGCCCATTTTAGTGCAAAGCTAAGCATTCTGGGTGTTGAGTAGTGCCTATTTTTTTTAATTTAACATCCAAAAAGAAAGCAAATAAGAGTTTTGCAAAAGATCAATTTTACAAGTGAACCCAACTTTTTGTGGTTTATAACAGCTTTACATAAAAGAAAAAACAAATGATCACCTGCAGTTGTACTTGAAGGCTTTCCATTTCCTGGGCCCTTCTTCTCCAAAGACTTGCCGTCCTTTTTGCCATCCTTCTTTCCTTTTTTGCCGTATCCTTCGGGCTCCTTAACCTTGATGTAAGTCCCTCCACACGTCCTCCTGTGGTCCTCCCACCAGGGGTCCTGGGAGGAGGGAGCCCGGTTCATGGCCCTCTTTACGAAGCCGAAGTAGGGTTTGCGGTTCTGACAGGGCCCGTCGCATTTCCACCAGTGCTGCCGATACACATCGACCTCATCGTGGAAGCTGTGGTAGACCTGAGGAGGAAAGAGACGCGTTTCAGAATATGTTTTATATGCTGAAACAACAGAAGACAAAAAAGTGTAATAACAAATACACCCACAGAAATCTTTGTCCCTGTGGCGTCGTTGATCCGGTTCATGTGTTTGCAGAACTCAGGCCCATGACCGTCTCTGTCTCTGTTGTTCTGGGTCACAAACAGCAACGCGTGGATCATTTCATGAAGGAGAGTCTGCGGAAACAAGATAAATGAGCGGTTTCCCACTACAACATCATACAAGACACACAATTGCAGCTTGAGCTTTAGGGCAGATGGCAAAATGTCTATGGACTGAAATTCATAGGAAGAGTTGTTGTTATGCACAAGAGGAATTTTGGTCCTAATTACTTTCCCCCTATAAGTGCAATCTACTTTCTTTACTGCATGCAAATGACAAGATTTTAAGTGTTTTACTATAAGAGAAATATAAAGTGAGACTGGCTTACCTGCACAAGATCTTTTCTCGGTCTGAGCTTCAGCAGAGGCTCACTCAGTCTGATCGAACACAGCCCACCTCGGCCCTCGTAAGAACACACACCAGCACACCTGCAGGACAACAAACAAGAGGAACATGGGTCACTAAAGACAGGAGGCACACATCTGCTATAACCCTCATTGGAGAGGTTATGTACACACATGCTCACCGTGCGTAATGCCAAACCTCCAATGAACAAACTAAACCTAAGTTTTAATTCTCAAGTGAACTATTACTCAACTAGACAAACCAATAACCTCTACCTACCAATGTGTCGTACATCTCGAGGACTCAATAAGATACCGTGGAGTCAAATTATGGAACACGTATATTTATTTACTTGATGACTTTTTTGTCTTTTTCTAGATACAAGTTAAGACTCAGAAATACGTTGATGTCAGAAAGATTTGTAGTGAATAGTGAATTGTCCTGATTTTGTTATAGTGTCTACATACTGTATGCCCGGTTTTTCTCTATTTTTATGTTTTCAATGTTTGTATGTCATTTTATTTGTGATAGTAAATATTCTTACTTTGTTATTTTTACTGTATTTTATTTTAACTTTGTTTAATCTCTTAATGTTCAGGGTAATAGAAAAATATAAAACATCATTATGATAATGTTTATAACTATAGTCTGACTGTAATTAATAATTTATGAAAGCTTTTCATTTATTTATCTTTTTCCTTTTATTGTTTTGATTTGGTTAACTGACAACTGTTTTCTGTTTTGTGAAATCAGGTTACTTTGTTTGTTTTTGGTTTTTTACAGCTATTCTTGTTTTGATATACTGTATAAATGAAATGTTCAAAGGGTAGGCATAATAAGCCTCAGCTTCATCCTACACCTTTTCTGCCATTTTTATTTTTTTATCATTGTACTTGTATGTTCTATCCTTTGTGGTCATGGACCAAAATAAATATTTACTACTAATACTAATGTGAGGTTTTGAGATAAGCCCTCAAGGGTTTCTACCTCACCTGCACATGTGTTTTATTTTTAATTTTCTGTTTGATTCTTCTTTCAAAAAATGTGCAAATAAACTAAACTAAACTAAAAATAAAACTAAACTAAAAATAAATAAATAAACAAAATAATAATAAAAAAAAAAACTAAAATAAAATAAAACTAAACTAAAAATAAATAAATAAACTAAAAAAATAAAAAAACTAAACTAAACTAAAATAAAAAACTAAACTAAACAAAAAAAAAAAAACTAAACTAAACTAAAAAAAAACTAAACTAAACTAAACTAAACTAAAAAAAACCTAAACTAAACTAAAAAAACTAAACTAAACTAAAATAAAATAAACTAAACAAACAAAAAAATAAACTAAAAAAAATAAACTAAATTAAACTAAAAAATAAATAAACTAAACTAAACTAAAAAAAAACTAAACTAAACTAAACTAAACTAAAAAAAAACTAAACTAAACTAAAAAAACTAAACTAAAATAAAATAAAATAAACTAAACAAACAAAAAAATTAACTAAAAAAAATAAACTAAATTAAACTAAAAAATAAATAAACTAAACTAAACTAAAATAAATAAAAAAAAATCTCAAGACCATTTTTTTTAATTCAACAGTGTTGATTCAGTGTTTGTCAACATACTGAGCTTTTATAATCAGTGACTTACAGTGTCATTCTGGGGCTCCACTTCACCTCCACCCCGCAGAGTTTCCCCCAGAAGAACGTGTCATTAAACTCCAGGAACATGGCTCTAACATCGGGGCTGGGGTCCAGCGTCTCCCAGGTCTCATCCACGATGGACAGCGGCCTCTCGGGTCGAGCAGTCGGCTTCCAGTAGGGGACAACACCGCTGCTGCTGCTGCTGCCGCCTCCTCCACCTACAGATACCTCCACCTTTCGTTTCTTGCTGCTCTGCCCCCCCGAGTCCTCGAAGCTGTTTGGTGAAAACAACGACGTCTCGTATTCATTGTTAAACTGCTCCTGAAGCTGGATGGCGAGCAGCAAATCTCCGTCCATCACAAAAAGAGAAAGTAAAAATAATAAGATGAGCTAGCTGGATATGTAGCTCCGCTTTAACTGATCCAGGGCTTTTAAACTTCAAGTGTCAGACTCACAGGCGACACAGAACAGACTTTCAATAACACAATTATTTAAAAAAACACAGATTCGTGTCATAGTTTCAGAGAAAACATTAAAATCTTCATGTCGGTTCCTAGCTGTTGGACCAAAGCTAGAGCTAACGGCTGTCGTGTCAACCCGGACATGGTAGAAATTAACAACATCCGGTGACGTTTTCAAAATAAAACGTCTGTAATTAAAAAATAACAATCAGAATCAGCTTTATTGGCCAGGTATGCTTAAACACACAAGGAATTTTACTTTGGTAAACTGTGCTCTCTTTGTACGAAGGTATAACATTAAATATCAACAATAAACACAAAAAGTTTACTTTTTCTTTACATTTTATTTTATTTATCATTTTGTTTTGTACCCTTTGCACTATTTAGAATGTATTACTGTAAATATTATTTATCTTATTTTACCTTATTTTGTTTTATCTATTTTATCTCATTTTACCTTATTTTACCTTATCTTATTTTACCTTATTTTGGTTGTATTGCACCATGGGACGGAGACAAACGCAATTTCGATTCCACTGTATGTCTGGCATATTTTGAAATTGACAGTAAAGTTGACTTTGACTTTTATAAGCAAAGACTAATATGTACAAGGCTAAATAAGATAATAGTGCAGAGGCGAGTAGTGCAAAGTTTGTGTTATTTGTGTTAGATAAGCAACAACATTTTAAGACATACACATTTAAATAACAGGGGGTCGATTATTGGCCGTGAATCGCCGTAAATTTCAAATGTATAATATGTTTTTTTGTTTTGCTGCAATTTTAATTTCAGGTGCTCTCAAACACTTGACCATACTTCCGGTGCTTTCAAATAACTGCGAGGGATTCCTGGGATTTGTAGTCGTATTCGTGTTAATTTAGATGGCCATCACATAATCTACTCGGGGTTTTTTTCTGTGTAATTTACGGATTTAAACAATGCAAAATTACACAAATATATGTCTTTCATTAATGTTTATTTTTTACTATGTAACCATATACTTTTTATTCCCATTAAATTCGACTTTAAATGATTTCTTGGATATGTTTTTGTTGGCCATCTAGTTGTCATGGTCCCGTGACGTTCCAGGGAGTCAACCATAGTTTACCACTTCCTGTTTTGGGTTGTTAGCGGATGTGAACTGAGGTGGCTCCATGAACTCCTCTTCTTGTCTTCATTCGCAGCCAATTTATTGTTAATTAGTGAACTTTAACAACACACAAGATGTCGGAAACGGGGAACCGGCTGCGGAAGCTGCTCGAATCGCCCAATTTCGACCCGCAGAACTACGTGAAGCAGCTGTCCCAGCAGTCCGACGGCGACAGAGACCTGCAGGAGCACCGGCAGAAAATCCAAAACCTGGCCGACGAAACGGCTCAAAACCTGAAGAAAAACGTCTATAAGAACTACAGGCAGTTTATAGAAACGGCCAAAGAGATTTCCTACCTGGAGAGCGAGATGTACCAGCTGAGTCACATCCTGACGGAGCAGAAGAGCATCATGGAGAGCATCACTCAGGCCTTGCTCTCCACAGACAAGGACGAGACCTCCAAGGAGATGCAGGCTGCGTTCCCCAAAGAAACCGAAGAGGTGAAGCAGAGGACGCTCACCTCTCTGCTGGAGAAAGTGGAAGGGGGTAAAAACATCATGGACACCCCAGGGAGGCACCTGGTCTACAACGGTGACCTTGTGGAGTTCGATGTCGACAACATGTCCCAGATCCAGAAGGTGCACGCGTTCCTGATGAACGACTGCCTGTTGATCTCCACCTGGTTGCCCAACCGCAGAGGAGCGGTGAAGTACAAGTACAACGCCCTGTATGACCTGGAGAGCTTCGCCGTGGTCAACGTGAAGGACAACCCTCCGATGAAGGACATGTTCAAGATCCTCATGTTCCCAGACAGCCGCATCTTCCAGGCGGAGAACAGCAAGATCAAGAAGGAGTGGCTGGAGATCCTGGACGAGACCAAGAAGAACAAAGTCTCGAAAGACAAACACAAGAAAGAGGAGGAGGTGCCTGCTTCCCCGTCCGAGCCGAGGTGTCCACCAACCCGTTCGACGTGGAAGACGACCGGCCGGCGGACGCGGAGGAGAGCGTGGACCTCGGCCTCGAGTGGATCCAGGAGCTGCCGGAGGACCTGGACGTGTGCATCGCTCAGAGGGACTTTGAGGGCGCCGTCGACCTCCTGGACAAGCTCAACGAGTACCTCAAAGACCAGCCGGTCACCCCGAGGGTCAAGGAGCTGAGGGTGAAGGTGGACGAGCGCGTGCGGCAGCTGACGGAGGTTCTGGTGTTTGAGTTGTCTCCAGATCGGTCGCTTCGGGGTGGACCGAAAGCCACCAGGAGGGCCGTGTCCCAGCTCATCAGACTAGGTCCTACTTTGTTTTTAATGTCATCTATCGCACTCAACTCCACATTTATATGCTATATAATTAAATCTGTGTGTGTGTGTGTGTGTGTGTGTGTTTGTGTTGCAGGCCAGTCTACAAAAGCCTGCGAGTTGTTCCTGAAGAATCGCGCCGCCGCTGTCCAAACGGCCATACGGCAGCTCCGCATCGAGGGAGCCACGCTGCTCTACATCCACAAGCTCTGCAACATCTTCTTCACCAGCCTGCTGGAGACCGCCAAGGAGTTCGAGATGGACTTTGCGGGGAACACGGGCTGCTACTCGGCCTTCGTGGTCTGGTCCAGAACGGCCATGAGGATGTTTGTGGACGCCTTCAGCAAACAGGTAGGAAGAGGATTTAAAAAAAAAAAAAAAGCAGAATGTCAGACTGACAGTGAACCGCCTGTTACATGTGGGAGCTTTGAAGATTAGATTAGTAGACGTCCCATTTTCTTAAGAATCTGGAGTTGTGCTTAAAGCTCAGTTGAGGAGCTCGCTCGCTCTACGTTTAATACCTCTGTGATCATGCACAATGTCACTGCAGCTGCTTTAAAAGGAAGAGAGAAACAGATTGATTTCCATACATTTGACTGGCTTTTACAGGCGCTCACTGGAAGAAGAATAAAAGTGCACGCATGAGCACATGTCCTCTGACGTTAAGAGCTGCGATCACAAACGTTGACTGTTGATTTTAACAGATTTGAAGATGTAAAAGTGCATTAATACAAATGATTTATGACCTCATCAGCTTTCCAAACGCTGAGTCAAGTCTAGTTAGGTCAACTTTATTTATAAAGCACATTTAAGAACAACTGAGGTGAGCAGAGAGGTGAGAGTTAAAACATGAAAACAAAGAATTAATCACACTTCTTAAAATAAAAGTCAAATCTGTCTGGATTTTTATTTTTTATTTTTTATTTAACCTTTATTCAACCAGGTAAATAACCCATTGAGATCAGGATCTCTTTCACAAGGGTGACCTGGCCATGAGGGCAGCAGCACATGTCATAAAAAGCATTACATGATAAAGAGACAGTTTACAAACAATAAGTTAAGAGAGAACAACGATTTACAACGTGCAAATTGATTTACAGATCAAGTGCAGAATCTTGATCACGGATTACAAATCAGAAACACAGGCACTGTCCAATTGTCTCGTGTTTTTTATCTTTTAAGATCGAGCAAAGTTCCATGTGGTGGGAGCAGCAAAACTAAACGCTCTTTCCCGAGCTCAGTGCGGACACGAGGCACAGACAGTTTAAAGACACCACAGGGATTAAACGTTCTCATCCCGAAAGGGAGGCCACAGAGTAGAGAGGGGTCTTAGGCGGATCTTATTTGAAATGGTAAGCCGTTCCACAGGTCCGGAGCAGCTACCACAAAGGCTCAGTGGCCCCTGGTTTACAGTCTTGTGTTTGGCACATCCAGGAGCAGCTGATTGGCTTTAGACTTTGAAACTTAGTTTAAAAACAGGAAAGAGTAGTGAGATGATTTAACCTCAAACAATCATTGTTTTGGGACATATTTCTTTAAACTCGCTGACTACCTGACAAGCTCATCAGCTGGTTAGATTCAGGATAATGGTTGGCACATCACTCACAGGCACTGGAGGTTCTCATAGGGTGAACAGTGTAACTTACATCCTGTTTCCCCTCCTCTCTGCAGGTGTTTGACAGTAAGGAGAGTCTGTCCACTGCAGCAGAGTGCGTCAAAGTAGCGAAGGAGCACTGTCAGCAGCTGACGGAGATCGGCCTGGACCTGACCTTCACCCTGCAGTCGCTGCTGGTCAAAGACATCAAGGCGGCTCTGCTCAGCTACAAAGACATCATCATGGAGGCCACGAAGCACCGCAACTCGGAGGAGATGTGGAGGAGGATGAACCTCATGACCCCCGAGGCTCTGGCTAAACTTAAGGTGGAATTTGCTTGCACGTTTTTTTTTTTTTGTCATTATTTCCCCAGTGTACAAAAAGAAGGTAAATTAAACAAATAAGCAAAATTCATGTAGCAGTTTGGCCTCATCTAAGTGAAAATAAAAACAATGACGTATTGAAGCATTACAGGAATTAAATGAATTAGAAATGTAGCAACAAACACAAAACAGGTCTCAGAGGTTTGACATGTTAAACTTTGAACAGTGAAATCTAAACATTTCTAACCTTACATTTAAAGAGAAAGTAACCTTTAACATCATGTAAATCTCCATGGTTACAGATTGTTTTTTAAACGTTTGTCTCGTGCTCTAGTTTTGTCTCCTGGTTATATGTGATGACAGTAAAAACCACGTTTACAGACTTTGATTTCCTAATTGTTTTACGATAAAGTTTAGAGCTGGATAATTTAAAGGCTAGAAGGTAGAGTTCTCTATTTGTATTCAGAGTATAGTGTAGGTGTACCTGCACTGTTTATCACTTTTCTTAACTATTATATATTTATGGTTTTAGTAATTCACTTGTATGGAATTTAATGATTATTTAAATGACATGTTTTACCGGCGAATGAATGTATTTTGTTATTTTGCTACTGCAACAGAACTCTGAAGTCCAAGACAAATTTCCCACTGGGACAATAAAGTTAATCTTAATCTTAATCTTAGAGTAACATTGTCTAAACTGGGGATACTTCGATACTTTTCTGCTTGAAATGGATGACTTCTCTGTCATTTTGTATTTATTTGTTATTTTATTTATCATATAGTATCAAAAGCTCAAAAGAGATATATATATATATATATATATGTATAAAAAATCTACAGGTTTAATGCAGCCTTTATGTTGAAAGGACAGGGGATACTGTAGGAAATAGAATAAGAGAGTGGGGAATGACATTCGGATTCAGATTCAGATTTTTTTATTGTCCCACGAGGGGACATTTGTGTTGCAACAGGAGCAAACAGAAAACAAGAAACACAAAAGACAACATCACCATAAAACATGGACCAAAACGAATTGGAAAATCAGACAACACAGCAAAATATAAAACCATATAAAAACAGCGCAATAAAATCAATCAAGAGCCCATACCAGAATGGAAATTCAAGTTATTAAAGAGCAAAGTGTAGGTGTGCAAATGTGCAAAAAATGCAAGAAAGGAGCCTCAGGTCTGATTTGATCACTGTTATCTTGTGTATATGAATATGAACGTATTCTATGGTTCTCTCTGCAGGATGAGATGCGCACCTGCGGCATGGGCAGCTTCGAGCAGTACATGGGCGAGGACTGCTGGGTGAACCTGAGCTACACCATCGTGGCCTTCACCAAGCAGATGATGAGCTTCCTGGAGGAGGGCCTGAAGCTCTACTTCCCCGAGCTGCACATGGTGTTCCTGGAGAGCCTGAGGGAGATCATCCTGGTGGCCGTGCAGCACGTGGACTACAGCCTGCGCTGCGAGCAGGAACCAGAGAAGAAGGCGTTCATCGTGCAGAACGCCACCTTCCTCCACGACACCGTGCTGCCCGTGGTGGAGCGGAGGTTCGAGGAGGGCGTGGGCAAGCCGGCCAAACAGCTGCAGGACCTGAGGAAGAGCACGAGGCCGGTCAGGATCAACCCAGAGAGCACCACGTCTCTGGTCTGAGTCTGATGAGGAGTTATTCTGAGACTGCTTTACAGGATGGTGGACAAAAAAACCCACACATGTGCTTTTACACTTTGGACATTTCAACCCTAACTTTAGAGATAACTGCTCAACAGTGGCTGAAGGTTGAAGGACAAAACATGACATGACAGGATGCAACAAACAAAGCTGAAGGTAGGTAGATTTAGAAAGCTGCTCTACACCTGAAATCGACTTAACACCACTTAAACGCTTACTGCCCGAGGAAAACAGGCTTTCAAATATCCCTGTGACTGTTTCCAATATTTGGCTTTGAGCCGTGAACATGTTCCTGTTTTCATGTCAGGACGTAATGAGAGGTAAGAAGTGCACTGTTTGCTCAAAATGTGCAACAAATAATTGAATCTTTAGTAACACATTTCAGACAAACGGTTACTTTTCTGACAGTTTTCATTGCAGGCGATCCTATTTTCTTTGACATTTCTTTCAAAAATCGAGTATCAGATATTGGCAAAAATCTGATCTGAATGTTTTGACTTACCATAGAACTAATCATTATGATTTTTGTTAAGTTAGAAGCAGTACATTATTAGCGTGTTTGATTCAAACTCTTACTCGATGCCACTGAACCATAATCAGACACTAACTAGTTTTTGAAGACACTCGGACTGGTCGAAAGGGACGACTGAAAAGCTAAAGCACTTGTTTATGTTCATGTTGTGTTTAAGAAGAACACGAGAAATGTAATAAAGATTGTTATGCATAAGAGCAACTTTTGTATTTTTTTGTGTTTACATTTTTTTTTTCTTTATTTCTCTGTGGGGTTACTTGTGACCCTGTTGTCTCTCTCCCTGGTTCTCCGCCCTCCCTCTACCTGAGTGCAACTGAGGAGGAGGGGGATTTAGAGGAGCAGGTAGAGGAGCAGGTAGGGGCTCACACACACTGAGGAGAGCTTCCTCTTAGATTTTTTTCCTTTTTCTCCCACAAACACAACACACTGACACTCAGCATGTTTTATCTCACTGGGTTTGGTTATTTTAGTTTGTTGTTTAAGTTTTTTAGTCTGGAGATTTCCGGTCGTCCTGTTTTCAGTCTTTTTGAACGGCTGTGGCTCAGTTGGTAGAGTCGGTCTCTCGTCGGAAGGTCGGGCGTTCAATCCCCAGCTCCTGCAGCCACATGTCCGATGTCTCCTTGGGCAAGACACTTAACCCCAAGTTTCTCCCGCTGCTTCGTCGGTTAGTGTAAATGTGCATGATTGGGATTAGTCACTTCTGATGGACTCTTTACACAGCAGCCTCTGCCATCAGTGTGTGAATTTTGAGGTGTGACCTGCGATGTAAAAGCGCCTTTGAGTAGTCAGAAGACTAGAAAAGAACTACACGAGCTCAAGTCCATTTACAATTTAATCATTGAAGTTCTTCAGGCAGCTCAGCAAAATGAAGTGTGTATTTGTTGATCCTTGTTGCTGGGAAATGTCTCCCTCTTGTGGAGGCTTAGAGTACAGAAATCATAAAGAGTGCAGTCGGTAAAAATATGAAATACATGGTTAATGGACACTGATCAGATGTTTGAGTTGTAATTTGAAGGAAATTATAACTGATACATGTAGTGCACAGTTCATGTATTCTGTCATTGTTGGTGTAATTAAGGCTTTCACCAGTTTTGCTTTCCTTCTCGGAAAACAGCATTTGAAATATGGCAATAATTCTGAACGTAGTTAGAAGTGTGTCATTAAAAGAGCAGGTCCTTCACATCTTCACATTTTGTTATAAAACAGTATAAAGTTCTTAATTCAATCAGTCTGTTTTGCATCTGTTGCTGCAGTCAAAGCGGTCTGCAGCATAACAAAAACAATTGCACATCTTTCCATCCCAAAACATTCCCCGAAAGCCCAGCGTGCCACGATGGCAGATTGAGATATTTTTGGAGCCCCCCCCCCCCCTCACGATTTGACACACGATTGTTCTCTCTGCTCCACAGCTCATCTCATTATAAGTGCTGATGTGATCGAGGGGCTTGAGGAAAAAAAAAGCCCCGGGAGAAAGTTATCGGCTTATCCGCAGAGAAGAAGACATCAGGCGGGATTATTCCATGAGGAAAAGTCCCAGAGGAGAGGACAGTAAATACCTCGCATGATGAAGAGACGGTAGTTTTGATTCTTCATCAGCAACGGATAAACGCAAGGGGAACACAACGTTTTTTTGTGTGTGTGAGTATTTTATCTCAAAAATATAAATCAAAAAGGATTGAAACCATTTTGATTCAACAAAAAGTCGATTTTTTTCCAGATACATTTTTCCAGATTCAGTTTGCTTCACGTATCGATATACAAGCTTGTCTGACCCGCGTGTTTGACCTTTGACCTCAGTGGACTTTAGATTCCTGCCTGTGTCTTTTGAATCCCCGGCGATGACAAACAGCCTCCAGGCTTTAACCCCTTACTGTCTCACCATCCTGTAAACACAAGTACCTCCATTTTTAACCTAAATAAATCAATGAACTGTAAAGAGCTCTGCCTCAGCCGTCTGACTTTGGGTCCTTCCCCCTGTCTTCTTGTTAAACACAACATGTTTTTAAGGAGTTATTTACATCCAACTTTTAAATATTTCTTGAAAGTAACATAAAGCTTTGATCATATACTATTTTTATTTCATTTAAGTAGATTTCCATTTTCTGCTTTTTTATGGTAAAGGGTGATTTCTGGTTTACACTATTAGCAATAAAAACAAGCCCGCACTTACACATCTATAGCACAGCTTTGAGAGGTGTTTGGTATCTTGCACAGGGAAACTTCCGCATGTGGACCTCAGGAGCGAGGGATCAAAACAGATTTATAATCAATGAAGAGACTCTGAAATGTCTCCAGAGCTGCAAACCTGCCAGAAATTCTGAAGTTGTATGCCTGAATCTGGATAGAACATAGAGTAGAACATGAGGGGGAGAAAGTGGGGAAAGGAGGCAGAGGTCAGACTTGAACCTGGACCGTCTGCTTGCAAGACTAAAGTACATTCACATAGTGCAACCTAACCGCTAGACCATCCACCCCCCCCCCCCCAGAAAATAAATCCTGATTTAAGCTGTCCAAAAATAACCCATAACAGCTCTCCTGTGACTGGATTTATTTTTTTTTTAAGGGGGATGTCACTGTTGGGGCGTTTGGGTTCTCTTCAGGAGCATCTTTAAAGATTGCTGCACTTTGAGAAACCATTTAGACGTCTGCTTTGCTGTCAAAGTGATAATTTAACCGGCGCTTTCATCTCCGGCTATCGCACGGAGCTGTCTCACAGTGATGTACAGCCCTGCCTTTATAAATTTTAATACGTGCAATATCCTCAAATGACTTAAAACAAGAGGAAACTGTAGCTCGTCAGATCCTGTTTTTGGTTAAGTGAGGTAGTGATGGAAATCGGAGGAAGATGTTGTGGAAGTTTGCTTACATGTGTGAATAAATGTTTTTGCTTTTCTGTACATGGAGTTACCATGTGCACGCTCTTTTCACTACAGAAGAGATGTGTAACTGGGTAAAGGGATGCTAACAGGGCTAATAAATGGTAAGCTGTCCCAGTGGGTGGGATTAATGCTGCACCCTGAGGGGCTTTAGTCACGCCTGCCGTCCGGTCAATTAAATGTTCAGAGAACACTGAGGGCTCATGTCACACAAAATGAAGGTAACAGGATCACACTGATGACACATTCCTACTCATTTTGAGGAGCCATCCTGTGTTAAGGTGTGGATATTAAAAGTCTGATGTCTTATTGAGTCTTGGGTGTTTACCTTTGCCTCGTCTTTGTTTGACATAATGTGTTAGTTTGGCTTCCACAATCATCCGTCTCAGACTGACAGGCAGAACAAATGCAGAGCATCAGGCAGTCAGAATAAATGATCGTCATTATCATCACATTAGTGTTGACATCAGGATCGACAATCGTAGTCTTTTGTGTTCCCTGCATCATAGCAGGAACGTTAGACTACCCACACAATAGTAAACAACCAAACGGCAACAGGTCATGTTGCAAAGAAAGTTGCTATGGTTACAAAGCACATTTATTCGAGCACAGCGTGACCTTTTTGCCATTGTGCTCAATGCACTTTTCTTGATTTCAACATGAATCACATTTTTACTGTTGCTCCACTTCTTTCAATCAGTTTTATTCTGTTATTTTTATTATATCTCACTTATATGACTTATTGTGTCTGTTTAAAATGTGTAATCAGTTTAAAAAGTGGTACATTACTCTAAATTAAAGGCTTTATATGCAATTTTTCACACTTAAATATTATAGAAACCAAGTATCTCCTCTGAAAATAACTCTGTGAGTCATGACTGTCTACAATGGGTGTAACACCCGAGTCCCACTGTCTGTGATGTTTTCAGAGTTTTCAGAGTCCTATCTTCACTTTGTTTACATCGCCAGGACGGCCGGCTGACTCCTCCCCTCACGTATAAAAGTTGTTTAATTGAGGGACTAGAGAAAAGAAGAATAACATACTGTACTCACTGCTTAACTGTGTTTCTAGATCACGCTCATTTCAGGTAAATTTACATGCAGTGTGAAGATACGAGCATAATAAAGATCGCTAGCATTAGCATGCTAACACAACAATGCAGCGCGAGTTGTTTTGGTTTCATGCTGGTGCTCAAGGGCGACATCTGCTGGATCAAAAAATCACATATTGCCTTTAAACCACTCTAAAATCCTGTGACAGACTCCACACATGAGGACAAATTGTCTTCCGAGCAGATCGGGGAGGATAAAATCACAATTAACAAACCTCACACCACAGGAGAATCTAGCAAGAAAATCTGTCCTTTGCTGACTTTGGTCAGAAACGGGGACTCTGGCCCAAAATTGAGCCCATTATCTTGTAGTGTTTTTCCCCCGCTTAAGGTGGCATATTCTGGTCAGGCTAACATAAGATACAGCGAGTAGGCCGCTGCTAGCTAGCAGGAGTTATGCGTCTCTGTATCTGAAATATTGTCAGCAAAATGTAGGTTTATATGGAGGCTATCTGTACAATTTGAAAGTGGTAGCTGTATGCATTTAAAATATATATATATATATATATATATATATATATATATATATATATATATTTATTTGTATTGCTTTCATGCTTTCCATCAGTCATACTCACAAGTTTTTATCAACCAAAATAATACCATAACATTTAACTTAGTTACACTTTTCAAGAGTGAAATCAGGATCACATGAGATATTTACCTTTATATCCCAAGACACAACAGAGAAAACACATAAAATAAAACAAAAACTATATATATAATTAAATAAATATAGAAACATGTTTATCATGCATCATGGTTTTTGTGTGCATTTATTTTTTTTACATTTTCTTTTGTAATTCATAATGTTCAGAATACATTTAGCTTATTTAGAAACTTCCATTTCTATTTAATAATTGAGAATTGAGTGAATCTTGGTAAACAAACCAGCCCCCTCCCCCATTTCCCTGATACACTGAGCTCTAGATATTAGGTTAAATGTTCTGTTGTGATTTAACAGACATTTTATACATCCTGAATAATTTACTTAACAAACAAAATACTGAATAAACCAGGCTTCAGTCGAGCTAACACTAACTTTTATTCAGTGTGACCATGATGTTAAAACATCACATGCATGTTTAGAAACACCCACATAGAATAATATATAAAAGGTATTATAGTCTAGCTGTTAATTTAATTACTAAAACAAAAAAATGTGACCAAAAGATGAAAGATTTCGTTTTGGTGTCTGCTCAAATCATCTGTGTGTTTCAGAGCCTTTTAAATTAACCCATCAATCAAGCACAATCCCCGCCCCCCCCCTCTCCGCGCATGCGCAGAGTCCCCTCTGGGAGCTGTCCGTGTCAGTCGGTGCTGGAGTGTTTTCACTGAAGCTGCTTCTCCTCCGCCGGTTCCACAGAAACAGACGGGAGCGATGGAGGAAGAGTTAAAATGCCCCGTGTGCGGTTCTCTCTTCAAGGAGCCCATCCTGCTGCCGTGCTCCCACAATGTCTGCCTGGCCTGCGCCCGGAACATCACCGTCCAGACCCCGGACGGAGAGACCCCGGTGCAGAGCCGAGCCTCGGGCAGCTCTGACTATGACTACCTGGACATGGACAAGATGAGTCTGTACAGCGAGACGGACAGCGGATACGGCTCCTACACGCCGTGCCAGCTCAAGTCCCCGAACGGCGTGCGTGTGTTTCCCCCGGCCGTCGCCCTCCGACACTGCTCCCTCACCTGTCCGCTGTGTCACCGGAGCGTCTCTCTGGATGAGCGCGGGCTCCGGGGTTTCCCTCGGAACCGGCTCCTTGAGGCCATCGTCGCGCGGTACCAGCAAAACCGCGCCGCCTCCGCCTCCGCCGCGTCGTCGTCTTCTTCTTCGGCGGTGAAGTGCCAGCTGTGCGACCGCAACCCGGTGGACGCGACGGTGATGTGCGAGCAGTGCGACGTCTACTACTGCAACGCCTGTCAGCAGCGGTGTCACCCGTCCCGCGGTCCGCTCGCCAAACACCGCCTGGTGCCGCCGAGGAAGCAAGCGGCAGGAGGCGGCGCGGCAGGCGGAGGAGGGAGCGGCGTGAGCGGCGGCGGCGGTGTGGGAGGCAGCGACGGTCAGCAGCCGCCTGCTACCGCGCGGAAACCGGCGACTTGCATTGACCATGAGGCGGAGAACTTCAGCATGTACTGCTACAGCTGCAAGATCCCGGTGTGTATGAAGTGTCTGCAGGAGGGGAAACACGCCAAACACGACGTGAAAACGCTGGCCATGATGTGGAAACAACACAAGGTGAGCAAACACAAACACACTGACCTTTAATTTGCATTAATACAACTCTTTGAACGTCTTACCTGTAGAGAATAACCCTAACACATTCATTATAGGCAACTTTCAATAAGCCAATAATTCATGTCACTCTCTGACTCACTTACTCACTCACTCACTCACTCTCTCACTCGCTCGCTCACTCACTCACTCAACCCACACAAACATTTTCTTTTGGCAGAAAAGTTTCCCACTCACAATTTCTGCCAAACCAACAGAGCTGAATTGGATCAATAATCCTCAAATTCATTGAAAACAGCACCAAGGTTAGTGAAGGGAAGATACACTATGGCTATATATCAAAAGTAAGAATTCATGGATCATGCTTTTCCACAAAAAGTGTGAAATAACACATCAGATTTCTCACACACACTCACGCTCTGTCTCTCTCTAATGCACTCACACATCAGGGACATATAACCCCCCCCTCCTCCTCCTCCTTCTCTCAAAAATGCCTGAAGCCATTTAGGTATTTGTGTGTTTTTATAATACACCCACACACAAACTGTGATTGCCTGGTTTGCCCCTCAATGGCTCCATAGACGGCATCTTTGTTAGAAACTGCTGTGTTATAACGTACAGCACATTGTTTAGGTTTTTTGAATGCACAGCGATGGAATTGTTGGTTGAAATGTCTCGTGTTCAAAAGGAAGGCTGCAGTTTGTAAGTCGCAGAAAATGGAGAAAGCACTTCTGCGTTTACTGTATGTGGGGCAAATCGTACATTAGAGAAGCCTGACTGATTCATCAGGAGAGGCTCAGAATGAAATAATTAATGTAGGCGTTAAAAAAAAAAAAAAACCTTCAGTGTGTGTTTGTTTGTGTGCATGTTTGTGTGTGTGTGCAGCATGAGTCATCTTGTATAGGTCACACACTGCTTTCTGCTGATATTTGATGCATTTTCTGGCCCACAGCTGAATGATTGGTGATTGATTGTCTTTTTTCAGTGTGTTTGTGTGATGTGACTGTATTGTAGGAAGAGTAGTGTGTTGTAGATTCTGTGGGAGGATTCAGATAGGAACATGAGTAACAAGCTTTTGATGGATTTTGAGGTAATGTGGTTTGACAGTGTACTTTGTTTTACAGCCACATAGTACTGAACTATGAGCTTCTACTTCACTACAAGGAAGGCCTGTACAATGTTTTAGAGTGACTTTGCAACATCTGTGTGGGGTTAACATATCGTCTTGGTCTTTAAACTCTGGTGCATTTACATTTACAAGTGGTAATGTAGTATTCCAGCGAACATGTATGTAAAGATGTCACAACACTTTTGACACAAATGATGCCAGAAATGTTCAAACTCAGTGAAATCCGTCGTTTTTATTTTGGGTAGTGGTGTGTTTCATTTGGTTGCCTATTTTCTAGGAAAAACTTTTAAGATGTTGAGATTGAGGGGGAAATCCATGAACTAAAACGACTTACTACTATTTCTGGAATATATACACAATCAGTATATTAACATGATGTTAAAAAAGGTAAATTCATAGTGTTAGTTAGACTAGAGTAAAGCTGGAATAAAAATACATTCAAACGTGTTATTCCAATTAAAACACACTGAGAAAAGTCTGATTTCTTGAAGTCAGATTAACACAAACCTCGATCATGTGGTTGGAAACTAATTGGAACTGAGCCCCAAACTGGACTGGACGCTCTGCTCCACAGTATCCGCACCAGGCCATAACCCGGAGGTCGGACGGCGTAAAACAGTCGACCGAATATAAGCATGGACGTAGTCTCAGTGTAGTCACCTGGTTTCTGAAGTGGACTTTTGAATGCGGTCTCTTCAGAAATCGACTTGTCCTGCCAAATTAGTTCTTAAAACCAGGCTGTGAACGTGTTTATTTCTGCTGTGAAAATATGATTTTTTTAAATGAGTGTTTAAGTGACTTCCGGAGTTTTTGCAGCCAGCCTCATGTGGACACTCAAGGTACTGCAGTTTTTTGTTCTTCCGCATCGGCTTCATTCTTCAACACCGACGGTTGCCGCTTTATAAATGTGTAAAAGAAAACAAGACAAATGAATCAAAGTTGTCCATGTGTCCACCGTCCCACACACAACCAGTCTGCCGCTTGTTGACTTGCTCGTGGATTGTTTGGCATGTGATGTAATGGGTCAACCGGAAGAAGGTCCAATAGTAGCGAGCTAAAAGAGGGTCATATCACCACCTGCCGTAGCGGGGTCAGACATACTTCTGTCAATAAATGGATTCCCTCCCCCTCGGTGCTCGTTTACTGGGAAAAGGATGGTGGTCCAATGAAATGGCTTTATTGATTTATAACCAGAGCTCAACTTAACTGTGCATTTAACACACTGAGTGATATTAATTAAACAACATGACTACATTTAACATGAACTTGTCAAAAAGATTGAGATCTATAAAGTCTGCTTTTTGGCATTGACGCCAACAACTCCCATGATTCCATGCAACTTCAGGACATCATTAAACTACAGATGTTACTGTTTTAATAATAAGATTGGTAGCAGCAGAAATTGCATATTGTGCATTTACTCCACACTGTCTTTGTTGGGACTAAAATAAACACCATGGCTGTGCGAACTAGTTCATTTTGAAAACAAGCTTTTGTATTTAAAGGTCACATATCATGCAAAATACACTTCACCATGTTTTCCTAACACTAATATGTGTCTCTAGTCAGTCTACAAACCCCCCCCCCCAATATAAGAAAAGTCCATCCTCTCCGTCTTTAGCCTGCTCCACTTTTCAGAAAATGTGTTCTCAAACAGGCCGTTTGGAGATTTTCCCTTCATGACATCACAAAGGGCAGTAACCCCTCCCCCAGGTGGGTGACACTCCCACAGCTAGGTGTTTGTTCTGTCCTCTGAGTCTGCCTTCTCACCGTAAACAATAGAACATGGAGCAAGAAAGACCAAGTACATCCAAGCCCTTCCAGAGAGGGGGCGTGGTCAGACACAGCTCATTTACATATTTAAAGGTACAGACACAGAAACAGCCTGTTCTGAGCAGGGCTGAAATAGAGGGGTTTATAGACATGATCAAATACAGGATCAGAGTGGATTTAGAACAAGACACTTCACACACATGCTTTGAGGAGCTCTGACACTTATTGAAACTGAAAGGAGGATGATATGTGACCTTTATAATAGATGATCATTCTATGAAACTTAAATGTGTATTTGAATATTTGGTTGGACATAACTACCTTACAGTAAATAAGTTTGTTTTTTCATTGTCGTAACTATGACAACATTAAAATGCTGCTCTCATGTTGATTAATCAGAAATAATACATCAGTTATACATAAAGTATAAGATAATTGTAATTTAATTATGATATCTTCCTGTAAGATTTTTACATTTTCTGCACGTTCTTCTGTACTTGAAGTGAATCCGACCTCTGCAATTTTAATCAAAAGAAAGAATTGCGTGATCTCAATCTTGCTTACATAAAATAAAGAATCTGGTGTTCTCCCTCTGGCGTCTGAGGTTGGCAGATTAAAAACACTCGGTATCTAAACTGACTGAGCTCTGCGATTTGGGAGAAAAGGAAAGTGAGTCACATTTTCTTCGACACTCTATAAACTATGATGATTTTAAAAGTGTTAGTTGAACAAATCCTTGACATTTTGTGGTGTACTCCGGTGTACCTCAGTTTGCAAACATTGCCTCAAATAGCTGGAAAGAGGCCCAGGTTAAGTCTTTATTTCAGATTTATTCTCGTTTCTCCAACGTGTTTTGTCAGAGGTTAAGGATTTTTGTTGTAGAAGGGCCACAAATCTAACGGGTAACAGTAGACTTTAGCATTTCTGAAATTGTAAATGCATCCCTCTGGATCAGTCTTACATTTTTAAATCCAGGACGCAGCAAAAATTATGACATAATAACAAACAAAAAAAAAACAATCTTTCCTTAACTTCACAAAAGATGAAATGTGTCTAAAACTAGAACATCACACAGTATTTTACCATCCAAACCTCATCCGGCCTCCGCTCCTCCCTCTGCCTGCCAAAAAAAATCACCCGCCTGCATCATTAAAGGATGATTAAAGTGATTTATGATTTAATTCATTTTTTCATGACTCTTTCATTAATTTAAAAAAGTGCTCTGGGGCTGGGGTCAACTTAAGTTCACCTCCCTCAGGGTTCAGTATGTCCTGACTTTCCTGCTCAAATGACACAGACCTTGAATGTTTTTATAATTCTAACATTTGTAAATTTGTAATTCTTTTTTTTAACCATTTTTGTCATCTTGCATAAATCCCACAAGGGCTGATTTCACAGGGAGACAATTTTTAGCTTTTAAACAGCATTTAAATGGTTAAAAAAAGTAATCATTACCACATTAATCAAGAGATTAGGTTAAAAAAAAAAACACCCACTGGGAAGGAATTAAAGGGGTTTAAGTGAGAGTTAATGCTGCTAATAGTAGTAGTACTGAAGAGGCTGCAGGACCAGTGTTTCATTTTGCACAACCATATTCTTGAATCCGAACACTATACAGCGTTTTTTGAGGCCATCTTCATTATCACATCCACATATCAGGGTCAATTAAAAGCCATTTTTGTCCGTGTCCTGCTAAGTAGGTCAATGGTGCTAATCCCTCTTTTGAGTTTTTTGTAGCGTCTTTCTCCAGCATCTTTGCCTATTTTATTTTCACACATGCACTTGTGAACATTTCAGGACCTGACATGCCTAACATCACCTTACACCAGGAGACGTGGCTGTCAAATGGAGAGGGGGGGGGGGGCAGCCCTGTATAGCAAACATGTGACTCCCCACCTGCAGCTAAACTTGAGTGGGCCCTTTTTAATTCTTGGAATGAATGAAAAGTCGGCCCCTCCTCCCGGCTGTAGAGAGAAAGCAGCGCTGAACAAAGTCAAGACACAGAGAAATAAAAAGTTGTCCTATTAATTCACAAGCTGCCGTTCTAAAGCATAAATTAACACACAAGTCCTTAAAGGAGTTCATTGTTTTTAAGGAGTTA